CTTGCGCCGGGTCATATCCTTTGCGTCAATTATTGGCTTAGTGGCCATTGCTCGGCCCCCACCCAGACCATCAAGGACAGTGTCCTGCAGATGGAAACCCGAAAATTAGTTAGATTAATATCGAAGAAAAACCTGGCTGCCTCATCTGCACTTGTACTTGCTACGGCTACGATCCTCTCTGGTCTAGCCGACCTCGCCGTCACAAACCGCACTTGCCCACGCGTGGCGATCCGCGGTGGCAGATCTGGACACTTCAACTCATTCTATTAGCCGGCTACCGAAGGTCTGAGAACCACTTTCATGTCTTGACGAACTGCGTCGAGCCAGGTTTTGAGGTGAGTACCTCTTCGTCGCCTCTAAGTGGGCAATGCTGTCGGAGCAATGACATCTCTGTAGCATCTGTTGTTTTTTGGCCTAGGATCATTGAATCTGTCTGGGATGGCGTATCTACCTGGTGTATCACACCAAGGATTCATACCGTACGTATAAAAAATGAGCTATGATTTAGTGTTGTGTGACCTTTGTTGAACTGTATCTGTACTCTGAGGGGATAAGGAATGCAGCTGAACTGACTTTCGCACCAAGAATCTTTTTGCATGAACGAACTATCAGAAATAAATGTACGTGACGTATCTGGTTAAATTCTGACAGCCGTTTCTATTAGGAAGGATAACTTATACCACCGATTATCGTGCACCATAACCCGAAAATATTTCTGTCACGAAAAGACGCCGACCTTTGAATGCTCTCCTTGTCGGTCGACAGCAAAACCCTTTTCGCTGCATAGTGGTTACTTGATTAGTTAAAGAAGTTGGTCACACTGTCATCAAATAGTTCTGACTGGTTGGATGTATGTCCACAGGCACAACAATTGTTTATCCTTGTCGTGTTCTCATAGGGCTACTTTATTTTGGTTTAGTTTTATTTAAGCTATTCTGTGCATGTCCATTTTTTCACATAGTACATTATTATTAAGTTGGTTTGGCAGATTTGCTTAATTTGAGTTGACCCAAGTG